AAGTGTTTCTAAATTAATAAAAATAAGTGTTTAATTAAATCTAGCTAACAGTACCTTAATTCGACATGTTTCTCATAAAATATACACTGTTGTTTATTTTGATAAACTTGGTCAAAGCAAATCAAACTAACAGGTATTGCACATTAATATATGTTAAATTTATTTAAAAATCGTGATTAATAATTATTTTAAATTAGTGTTGTCTCAGAAACAACACAAATTCCTAACAATGGGACCATAAGTCCTGTCTCTACAGATCGCCCGATAATACCTGTCACTACTGATCGGCCCATAAGTATTAATATTAATACTTCAAACAAAACATTAAGTGATCGCCTGTTGGAGCCGTTGATGGACTCATTGCCGAAACTGTTTGTCGAGGACTACGTCCAGAAAATACTAATGACGGGAGAAATGAATGCCGAAAACATACGCTACGGACAAAAGTACTGGAAGCGAACTAAACACGTGATGCTCAGTGAGTAGTACAACAAAACTTGCTTTTATTATGCACTATTTAGTTAAATAGCATTTGGTCATGCTGTATTCTGTGCATAAATAGTATTATCAAAAAAATAATTATTTTAACCGAGATCTTTTTATTTGTTTGATACTCATTAATAAACAGCGCGTCTAGAAATGCTAAAACGTGCGCTAACTGTGACCACCAATGATTACGAGCGCCAATTTTTTGGGACCTGTTGTGTTAGGAATGGGCAAAAAACTGGGCAAATATTTGGACAATTTTGAACAATTATTGGGCGGCATTAGCGACGATATACTAATGCACGCGCCCACCGATACGCTCATTAATAATCATCTAGTAANATACTAATGCACGCGCCCACCGATACGCTCATTAATAATCATCTAGTAATGTGGCGCGAAATGAGACGTGGTTCATTCGTACGCATGATGGCCACCGATTTGGTGCCCCTCTGGCATATATTGCAGATCCAGGAGTACCTGAAACGTCAGCCCCAATACAAGCCGAGCCCGTTGTCTAACTTTATACAGTATATGGACTTTAATATCGAAGGAGTGTTCAACTTTTATAAGAGTGTCATTGACTCACACGCGACAAATATAACGGCCGCCGATGAGCTTGAACTCTTCCAACTGATCCGTGAAATGAATGATCTAGATCTTAAATTCCATATAAGTAAGTAATGATTGTACAATTATTGTAGTATAAATGTACTGTATACAGTGTAATATACTGTACAGAGTGTTGCAATATTTGTGTGATATTTTTATAGAAGTAATGCTGTATTAGGTCAGGCAAAGTATCGCATACATATTGTTAAGTAATATACACGGTATAATTTACTATATATGGGTTATATTGTATGATTACTTAAATGTAATAATAAAATTCAAATGTATAAATATTTTATATCCAGTGCCTATCCTTCCAAAGGACAAGACTTTATGCGATCGAGTGTTTGACACATTAGAGGACGCGATGGCAAAGATGTATAAAACAGATTACGTTCAGAAAGTATTAATGAACGGAACAATGACTCCGGAAAACATACGCTTCGGTCGCAACTATTGGAAGCGATCCAAAGATTATCTAATGAGTGAGTGTTATATAAATTCATATTTGTATAGTGGAAGTGGGGGTGTATTTACGATGATATTAAATACCAACTTAAAAATTAAATATAAATTAAATCATAAATCATCTCTCTCTCTCTCTCTCTCTCTCTCTCTCTCTCTCATCGGGAACGCCACCCAATAG